CCCCTTTAACAACACTACTCAGCAGCCGTAGTAATAATCTTATCTTACATTGCCACACAAATAATAGATGCTGGTTGATTTGCAGTAACAGCCATAATACTCACGATGTTAACTCATATCAGAATTTATTATGTTAGACAAATTGATAAAAAAACGCTAAAAATATTTAGAAGAAATTATTTAAATAAATTGAAGCCTTAAGTTATTTACACTGCCACATTAGAAATGAAACATTTTAACCAGAGTGATATGATCAAGCTATTAAGATTTTATATATTATTGTCGCACCACCTCGAGTTGATATATTATATCTTAAAATAATTGAAGTTTGTAATATCAAAAATATACTCGTATTAAAAATTTAACTCGAAAGTTTTTCAAATAAGAAAAAAATAGCTTTCCTTAAAACACATAAAAAAAGAGAAGAAAAGATATCTAATTAATACATCCATTGTGGGATGAATAATAAGATGTTTAATTTTTAATAATATTTTTATATAAATAGATGGAGTTAAAGAATTGAATGCAAATTGTTACTTATATTTATTATCAAAAGCATTAATTAATAAAATTTATTAAAATATAAACTATATATTATATAACTGTTAAATACGTCTGTAAAAGTGGCATTTTACCTAATATTTTATAACTAATTATATACAATAGGGTATTATAAACTATATGTACTTTTTTATAAAGAAATCTCCTATACTTATTTGAACCTTGAAATATTTTTAGGAAGAGGCATGGTAATTAAATTTAAAAATGAATGATATAGTTGATTAATGATTTTGAACTCGGCTAATTACAATATTAAATTTGTTAATTTTTAATTAATGAATGATTGTATTTATTTAAGGGTTATATAATAATTTAAATAATAAAAGTCAATTAAGTTTCAACTGTTAATTCTAAATTAATATTTAGTGAGTGATATTTTCTATTTTTAACACAGAATTTGATTGCAAGCTGGCATAGTGAAATAATTTATATGTATTAATCTAATCTATTCTAATAATTAAAATAGTATTCATTTAATATAGATTTAGATAGTCTTATTTATTTTTAAATAATAAAATTAATTCTAAATATTACTTAATAGAATTTAAAAGAAATCGTTCAGGGGGCAATCAAAACAATTTATTATTAGTTCAAGGAGATATTAAGGAGCCATTAAAAAAAAATTGCTTCAGTGAGCTAGTGCCCCTGCGCGCCCCTCCCTAGTGAAGCACTGCGCACAACTTAATAGGGTTGCTTTTGTAGTTGAGGTTGACACGCATATAGGAGATGTTATATATTCAAATAAATCCAAAATAAAATCTTTTTTTTTATTAGCATAAACATTTAATCGAAATGTAAGTATTGAATATAAATTTCCACATTAATTATATTATTATATAAAAAATAGAAGATAAAATTAATAATCAAGTTTATTGTTTTCGCTTGCCTTTTGTAATAGAATAATAATTTGGACGAACGGGGATATTAAATGATTATTAATATATACAAAGCAATAACCCACTTATCGTGTCTGTGTGTTACTTGAAAAAGACAAAGGTGATGATCATAGTAAAAAAACAATTATATTTTTTAATCGTATTGATGATATTTCATATTTTACAAATTACAATATAACCTTAATGGGGATGCCATAAGGTAATATAAAATTTATAAAAAAACATTTATGCAATATATGGTCACAGATAAATACATTATTGTAATGTATTTTAATAGTAAACGAGTTTTTCTTATTCTTTTATTTTGTAATGTAAAAAATCAAAATCAGCCTTTATTATTCAAATTAATCTCAAAATATATAATAATAATAAAAATAAACATTTTACAAAAAATAATAAAAAACAACAATTTAATACACATCATTAATCTCCAGTCGATCTGGTTTCGATCGTATCCTTTTGGGATATCGATCTTGACTTGTTTCTTCCTCCCTCTCCTTTGAATTCATTTCATCGTTATTTTTTATTGCATCCTCTTTGTTTACTATCTCTAGGTTCACTATCTCTTCGGTTTTCTCTTCTACTTCAGTACTCTCTTCTTTCGTATTCTTCAATTAATACATTTTCGGTTCTTTTCCTTAATTGTTCCGTATGACGTATAATCGTATTACCCGCTATACTTACTTCATAACGTTGTGATCCGAGTATGCATTTAATAATGGCTTCTTCCCATTTTTTTTTCTTTATTATTGTTAAGGCGCGACCAAACTTTTTCATTTATCTGAAATTTTTGATTGTGGTATTCAAACTTCTCCTTTTTGTTTCCCCGTTCGAAAATTTGATCTAACAATCCTCTAGGTTTAAATTTTAGTAGTGTTTCAGGACTTTGTTCAGTTTCTGTTCCTGGTGTATTTCTGTTATTGTAGAGAAAAATAGCTAGGCTGGTTTCTAAATCCCTCTCGTTTCTTTTATTCATACTCTTCGGTCATGCCGTTTGTCTGAGGATGGTAAGGACTTCCGTGCACTAATTGAATTCCGCTTTTTCACAAAAATTATTGAAATCTTTGCTGCTGAATTGGGGTCCGTTATCAGAAACGATTATTTTGGGAAATCCGAATCTTGCAAAAATATTTCTTAATATTTTTATCGTGCTTTCGGTTGTAGTGCTAGTCATGGGAACTATTTCTGGCCAGCAACTGCTAGCATCTATCACTACCAACCAATAATGATTTTAAAATGGTCCAGCATAATCAATATATACTCGGTGCCATGCTTTTGGTGGTTTTGGCCAATTTTGAATTGCTGTCTTTTGAGGCATATCGTGTTGTTCCTGGCATTCTCTATATTTTTCGACCCAGGTTTCTATATCTTGGTTTATATTAGGCCACCACGCGTATTGTTGTGCTCTCATCTTCATTTTTACCATTCCGATATGTCCTTAATGTATCATGTCCAACACGTTGTTTCGATATTGTTGTGGTATTATCATTTTCGTTCTCCATAAAAAACAACCTCTCTCAGTTGTAATTTCCTCTCTCCTTTGGCTATACTCCTTTAAACATGCATCACAGTTTATTGGCCATCCATCTATTGTATATCTGTATACTTTAGAAAGTATATCATCTCGCATTGTTTCTCTTTCAATTTCGCTTGCATTTAAAGGTGTTTCTCCCACCTGTATTTGATTTAGCGCTTCTTCTTTTGATATTGGAGTTCCCTTTAGGGGTAATCTAGATAGCATGTCAGCATTTGCTATTTGTCTACTAATTTTGACTTCTATTTCATATTGATAACCGGCTAATAATAAAGCCCACCTTTATATTCGGGCAGTTGATGTTGTGGGTATATCTTATCTTGGATGAAATAAAACCATTAATGGCTTGTGATCTGTTTGTAATGTGAATTTTTTTCCATATATAAATTCTTTGAATTTTGTAACCCCGAATATAAATTTATCTCTTAATGCAGTATTTAAATATTCCCCAAAATCACAAGTCGTTGCTAATTTTCTTAGCTTTTGTATATAGTCTATTAGTTTTTCATCATTTTGTTGATTATATTGATAAAAATTATAACTCTCTACTATTATATTAAGTTTAGGATGAAAATGCTTGATTAAAATATTATGTATTTCTAATACCTCTTTGTTTCCCGAACTATCAGGTGCGCATAAATTTACCACTATTTTGTACGTATCACACCCTATTGGTGTTAATAACAGAGATTTTTCTTGTGATGATGTGAAACTTGGTTGTGTGTTTTTAAATTCTTGAAATAAGTTGTACCAATCTTTGTAACACAGGTTTGAATCCGTTAGACTTTTTATCGACTGCGCCATTTATGTAATGTATTTTAATAGTAAACGAGTTTTTCTTATTCTTTTATTTTGTAATGTAAAATATCAAAATCAGCCTTTATTATTCAAATTAATCTCAAAACATATAATAATAATAAAATTAAACATTTTACAAAAAATAACAAAAAAACAACAATTTAATACACATCAATTGTTAAGGCTGCGTCCAAAGTCATTAAAAAAAAATAAAATAAATAAATAAATTTTGAGGAAAAAAATAACATAAGCTATTTTTAATGTAAAAATAAAATAGTGTCCTATTTCATTTTTCGGTATTTGTAAAAATTTATTTTTTTTTAAAAATAATAAAAAAAAATAAAGTTGAATAAAAATATATTCAAAATTTTGAAATTTTTAGAAGAAAATTAGTAAGTAAAATTTTTAATGATATTAATTTTTATAAATTTAACCTAAACGATTATGAAAATCCAATAAATAAAAATATCAGGGATAACATGGTTGGGAGAAGTGTACATTTAAGATTAGTAAGTGTATATATTATAAATTTTGAAACAATAATTTAATATTTTGACATCACCTTATGTGATTAAATAGAGATTCTATAGAAATTAGGCAAATTTGGGAGGAAAGGCCAGGACTATGAAAAAATTTTGAAATAAAATCAAACATATAACTTCAATTATGATCAATTGAAAACAAACCCTTTGCAATTTATTTTTACCACAATTCAGCCAATATTAACTTTAGAAATTAATGTAAAAAGAATAATAGGGTATGATTTATTAAGATATTGACTATTTATATAGAAAATATTTACTAAGTTTTATTGAGCTAATATTTTGACATCACCTTATGTGATTAAATAGAGATTCTATAGAAATTAGGCAAATTCTTTATATATTAATATATTTTTTAGTGTCTGAGTATAATTTTATGGAGAGCATCAGAGAGCACAGAAGCCTCTGATGTAAAAGTGACCTAAAATTTAGAGATTCTGAAGAAAACAAGCGAATATGGGAGGAAATAGGAAAAACCTATAGCTTGAATTATGATCAAGTGAAGAAAAAATTTTTAGCAGTAAAGGCTAAATTTAATAAGTTATATCACCCAGCAAAAATCAGGTAAAAATAAAAATTTTATTTTTAAATTATATATATTTTAGGTTCTGGATCTGGAGTTCTTAAAGGGGAAGATGTCATATATATTGAAAATTATTCATGGTTGAAGGAAAATGTTGAAAATATTACCAAATTTTCTGAGTCAAGCTTGATATTGACACAGACAAATGTAAAATATTAAAAGACAAAAATATAAAATTGATTTTAATTAGGAATATGAAAATAGCCATCTGGGAACAGTAATATTTTATATTTGTATTAAAAAGTAATTTATTTTTAGGCAGAATCATATCTGAATCAAATTGCTAATCCAGTATTTGAATTGGATGCTGTATATTATTTTACTATTATTTTATATTTATTATTGAATAATAGTTAGATCAAGATACCACAAACAAAGAGAATGAAAACCCAATTATCATTAAAAATATTCCAACTCCTATATTTAAAAGGAAAAAATTAAAAGTTATAGAATCTGAAAGAACAGAGATTCTAAAAGGTAAAATAATAAATAACACTATATTATTTAAAAAAAATAGAAATATTAGATTCAAATAAAATGGAATAGGTCTATGTTGCAATCAATACATATCGACCCTAGCCATACGAATTTTATCAGTACCACCAACAAGTGCAGCATCCGAAAGAATATGGTCCTCCTTTGGAAATATTCATTCTAAATCTAGAAATAGAATAAAAAACTTAGTTTATATAAGAGCCAATCTACATTTTATGAGAAAGGAAATTTCTGAAAATGACAAATTGCTGGATTCCAGAATTTCAAGCTCTGATCTGGAATCATTTTCATCTTCAAACGAAGATAATTAACTATTCAAAATTAATTGTTTAAGTATTATTTAGTCTATATATAATATTTCAAATAAAACATGTAAAGTAATTGCAAATTAGTTGAAAATAATTTATATTTGTTTAATTATAATGTTTATAATCTATATATTTTCAATAAAACATAAAAAAAAAATCAATATTGACCTGTAAAGTATTATAAAAAAGATAGTTTCCCGTTTTTTCCCGTTATTTCCCTATTTTCCTGTTTTTCCCCCAAATTTCCCGGGAAATTTCCCCGAAATGTAGTTTCCCGGGAAATTTACCTCCCTAATTATAATATATACCTTAATTCCAAATATCTATGCCTATTTCTATGTTGAGTCGTTTCTTCAAATATTATATAATAAATAACTAATAATTGATTCATATCAAGCATTTTGAATATTTTAATTTTTATTTTTTTAAAACTTAAATGTGTCCAAAGTGTTTTGTTATTAATTTGTGAAAATTTTAAAATTTTAAGTATTTTTCCAAATGAATTTGGACGCAGCCTAATATAAAAAAATGTAATAAACAAAAATTGTTAAGGACCTGACATTAAAAAAATATAGATCAAAAGGTTGAGAATATAACAAAAATATAAATTTACTTAAATATAGAAAAGCTATCGCTTGCTTAATGTAATTAATCATATATAATACCCCATATTAAAAATATTAACCTATGATCATATTGTAATGTCTGAAAATATATATATTATTTGAATAAAAGTATATTATTTGAATTTTATTTTAAAAACTTTAATTTTTATTAAAGACTGTTTTTATTATTTGTATTATAAATTAGATTCAGATTTATGGCTATAAAAGCATTTATTATTTACAAAAAAATATCTGAAAATCTATACATTATTTGAATAAAAGTATATATTTTGAATAAAAGTATATATATTATTTGAATTTTATTTTATTGCCTTTAATTTTTAATAGAGACTGTTTTTATTATTTGTTTATAAATTAGATTCAGGTTTTTAGTTATGAAAGCATCTACTTTACAAAAAAAACAATCATTTTCAGTTTAAAGTTCGTTCGTTATTTCAAATAACTAATTCATTTTAACTTAAACAAATTGGCGTTTCATGGATAAATAAAAACTATAAAAATAGTCGCGAGGGCGATGAATGGCTAAAATGTACAATGTGCCTTGAATGGGCACATTCTAAATGTGCTAATTATGATAATTATTTTACATGTCCTTGTTGTATCGATTAATTTTTAAATAAAAATCATAAATAAATCTTAAATTTGTAATATTTGTTAAATAAAACAATAAATATGTGTCAAATATTATTTTAACCACTTTACCTTAGTGCTTATCCATTAGGGTAAAATGGCGAAAATGAGTAGTTTTACATAACTAATCATAGCTCCTAAAATATTATAGATAGAGGGCTACACTTTTTTTTATCTTGTAGAAGAGGGATGGGGCTACACATTGATCTATAATTTGTTGTGTTTGACTCTTGTTTAAAATTTTTATGGTAAATATGCAAAATGCCTATCGTTTTACCCCGGTCTCCCCTACGTATGGTGGCCGAAAATGAACGAGGATATTGATAAATTGGGAAAAGAATGTGAGATTTGTAATGCATGGTCTGACATGCCCCGTAAGGATAAAAATAGTACAAGACCAAAAGTTGTAGAACCAGGAGACAGGGTTCATGTTGATTTTTTCGAATATGAAGGAAAAAAGTATATATTAAGTGTAGATGCGTTCTCCAAATGAATAGAATTTGAAGAAATTCATAGGTTAACGGCGAATATTGTAATTAAACATTTTAAAAAAGTATGGTCGAAGTTTGGTATTCCGAAAACTGTAGTATGGACAAGATTTTATCGGGGAAGAATTCAAGAGATTCTGTGAAAAAACGGGTGTATATAATGTGTTAACGCCACCGTATCATCCCAGTTCCAATAGACAGGTGGAGCGGATGGTAGCGGCGATTAAAGGATGATTGAAGAAAACCAAAAGTGGAAAAGAAGAAATGTGGGTGAAGCATTTGTATTATAATAACGCGATGGGTAATAATCTCCGGCAGAAAAAATGATAGGCCGGAAGGTAAGAATGTTTTTGGATATGTTAGTATCTTGTAAAACGAATGTAATTGTGGAGGATATTGATAGAAGGGAATTGGAATATACTGTAGGACAGTTAGTATGGATTAGATTATATGGAAGTACTAAAAAATGAAAGAAAGGTGTAGTAATAGAAAATTCGGGAAACAAATTAAATAGGGTAAAAATTTGATGATAATAATGAAGGTGTCAGGCACAGGGATCAATTACGGAAGAGAGTGCATAGAAGTGATTGAAAAAGGAAATTGTAAAAAAAGAAAATATTTAAGGATAGTTCTTGGTTAATAAAGATGTAGATGACAATGGTTTCAATGGTGTAAATAATCGTGTAATCAAGAAGCAACCACTACCCACGTACATTGTATGTCCAACGTAAAAGAGGAACGACACTATGTTAGAAGGACAACAAGTTATGACGGATACTACGAAAATCGCCTAAAAGAAAGGAGGATGGCAAGGTTAGAATCGACCTTCTAAAAACAATACTGGGATGATTATCAAGATCTGATTGAGTGTATGAAGTGATAAAGAAGAAATACAGACATAAAAATATTGTTTAAACAAAAAAATATGGGAATCATTTATTGAATGCTTATACGCTGATTAATATTTTTTGCATAGTGATATAAAAAGCCCAGGATTTTTGTTAAGGGGGCGTGTTGTAGTATTATGTGTATTTAAATTATTATTACAATGATGTCAAAGATATATTGAATTTTTATATGAAAAAGAAATGATGTCAAAGATATATTGTATTTTTATATGAAAAAGAAATGAGGTCAAAGATATATTGTATTTTTATATATGAAAAAGAGATAATGTGAAAGTTGTAATTTATTTTTATTTAAAAAAGAAAGAAATGTTTTTTATTTTTAATTTTTTTCGCGTAAAAAAGAGGATTTTTTTATAAGAGGAATTTTTTTATATAAAATGATTTTTGTTATGAAATATAGATTATAAAAATAAAATTGTCAGTAGTATATAGTTTAATTAATCCAATCTATAAATAAGTTATAAGAAGTCTACAAAAGTTATTTTATACATCCTTATAAGATTAATATTCATCATGACTAGGTTTTGATGAAAGAAAAAAACTATGAGAAGCAAAATATAATTTTTTTCGATTACAAAGTGAAGTTAAGAATATATAACGGAAAATTTATCAAGTCATATGTATTTTACTGATTGCATAATATTTAGTTTAAAATACAATATCTAAAAGGAAAATATTTTTAACTAAATAATTAATAGCTATTTTGTATTTAGAAGATATAGTTTTTATTTTCTTACCTTTTTCTCCTTCACACTCATAACTATACCTCACTCTAGAACTACAAATTGGATAGGGCGTAATTCCACTCATTTTGATAAATATACATCTGTACAAGTGTTGGTATCCCTGAGAAAAAAAATTCAGCAAAATTATAGGGAGGGTATAATTCACATTCGCTTACTTTCGGCAGATCTATGACCAATGTGATAGATAAGATAAGAAGATATAAAAAGTTATAATTTACTTATAAATAAATTTAAAAAATCATCTTTCTAATATCAAAAACAATGAACCCGGATTAAAACAAACTAGTTTAATTTTCTATATATTCAACAAATTTACCAAGCAAGCCAACCCAGCAGGCCGACCCAACAAGTCGACCCAGCAGGCTGACCCAGTATGCCAACCCGGGTCGGCTCAACAGGCCTAATGGGTCGGGCTGGGTCGTGGTCGATTTTTCGACCCTGGCTCTCAGTTAGGCCAATTTTTATGACTTCGAATCGGGGTCGTGGTGAAAAAAACCAACCATTTAACAACACTAGGTATAGGCCTATAAATTTTTCCTTATTAGTTTATTCTATAAAACATTGTCTAAAATGGTAACAAAGAGTTATATTAGTATGATAACCTTTTGTCAATGTAAATTGCTACGAATTATATTATTGCATTATGTGGTTTTTAAAAACCATTATCAATTGAGGCATATGTATGAATTAATTAATCTTTTTTATCACTTGTAATTCTTTAGACGCAAATTTTTTTTATATCAGCAATCGAAAATACTTTATACTGTAATAAATAGATTTAGTATTAAAAATGTTATTTTTAGAAATATCTTGTATTGTTTTAATTATTTATATGCCTGTTTATTTTGTATGCATCTATTATAATAAACCTCAAAAAACGTCAATCAAGTTTAACCAATAGTGTTCTTTAAAAAAATATTTGTCCAAAGATAATCATCATAGCAATTTTAAGCCAGTAATAATTCCATGTGATTTATAATATGGCGAAACACAATATCCATATCAAATTTGCCACTGCAGGTAAAATATTCTTTTTTCAACAAATTTTATTTCGATAATATTTTTAAAATATTTGCTGAACACCAAAGTAAACACTATTTATTTCAGTATATCCAAAGAATAGGCAAGTTTAAATTCTTCAATTATTTTATTTTTGTGTGAACTTTCATTAGAGTCTATGACATCTGGGCTGAATCAAGGAGAGTTGACTTCAAAGTTAAACTTAAATTATTTTATTTTTGATGAGATCACAAATATCAAGG